AGGTGAGATCTTTCTTTCCGTCGCTGCCGTTGTGTCTGCGGCAAATATACATCATCATGCAACCTTGACCGGTCGGTCCTTTCCCCCCAAGCTGTTTTGAGAACCGGGGCCATGCGCCTGGCAAGTCAGGACCCTAGGCCCTAAGCCTTTAAGCGGCAACGCTGCAAGGACAGGAAGAGGACATCCGATGACGAGGTAATCCGATCGCACACAAGTGCGCAGGAGGCATTGCAGGCACTGCTAAGCGCAATATTCGCGTGTGTTTGTTAATGACTGCATGTTGCAAGTGCCTCTCTGTCACCGGACCGCATGTTCATGAAACCACGTCGTGCTTGTGAGTTTCCAGCAGGCTTCCGTGTCGAAGAGTCTTTGCTTCACCTGCTGAGCCCAGAGCAAACCCGGTCTTTAGAATGCTGGTGAAGACCAGACCCCGGCCTGGCCACGGCATTGCCTGAAGCGAAGCTGACGAGGGGCAGGCCCAGCTGTTGCCAGGTGCATCCGATGTCGGACCTGAACGACACCCAGCTGGCTTTGCAGTCAGTCTGTGCAGCTCGCAAGGTGTTGGTTTTGAACGCAGAGCAAGGGTTGCTTTGCCGGCATGCAAGGAGCCTTAAGTGTAACCGCACGACAGACCATGCGTTTGGGATTCCTGCCACGCATGTTGCGAGACCCTGTGGACTTCTGTCTGCAAAGTGCCCGACAAATTGCGAGAAGCCGTCTCTACGGCCTGGCGGCAACCTAGCATTGCGTGCAGCGGGGACGTTGCAAAGCAGCTTCGTGTCTTGTGCTGGACGAGCCCCTCCGCAGCGCACATGTCGAAGCTGGCGAGCAGACGCTGGCTAGCTTCGGAGGCCTACAGTGGCTCTGTGTCCTGCCTACAGCCAGCGCCGCAAGCTCGTCTCGCTGGGTCGGTGGGTGCCTGGCAACTGCCGACATGGCTCGTCAGCAGGCTCGTGGACTCTGCGCATCCTGCCGGCATTGTAGTGGGCTCAGGGCGTCAATGCCCAGGCTATCCACCTGCAGCCGAGCCCGGTTTTCGGAATCCAGCCTTTGGTGCGTGTCGAGTCGAAGCGTGCAACTGCTGTTGTTTGAGAGCATCAGCGCGCTCTCAGCCTCTGCTTCAAAGTCCTTGAAAGGCGCCGTCCTGGATCTGCTTGCGTGTCGCAGGGACGGGGCGCGCCGTGATTCGACAAAGATGTCCCTCGGTGGTGCCCGCGACATGCCGGCCTTGATGGGGATTCCCTGCAGGTCCGCTGCTCATGCTGCTCCTGCTTCAATCAGGCAGGCCGTCAACTTGTGTCCCGAAAGGTTTTTGTCAGAGTCCGTTTGCTGGCGGCGCGAGCTGCTCCTGTGACGTGTTAGCTGCCTCTGCGCTCCTACGTGCAAGGCGGCTGCGATCCGCCCTTGCATGCACTGGCACCTCGCAGAATGACAGTCTAGACAGTGCATTGCGGCCTTCTGCAGCTGGTGCGGGCCACGAAGCGAAGGTGAAGATCTGCATCCGCCCAATTGGCTGGAGGCTTGGCGAGATGCATAGACGGAGTTCAAGCTGCCTGGTGCGCCAGATCCTTCCAGATCACCTGGCCTTGTGTGGCCTCACCGTGCTGCTCTGGCGAGCCTGGCGCCTTCTGCTTCTTGATGGCTCATGTGACACCTTCATCACCAGGGTGACGGTTGCTTGCTCACCTGCCTCAGAAGCCGCTCTTGGGTTGCAACGTTGCAGCTGCAGAGTCAGTGCAGGTGGCACTCCGCCATCCTTGCAGTGCGATCGGGGCTTCCAGTTGGAGTCCTGTCATGTCGTGCCTCAAGGAAAGACGCGTGCAGAGAGCTCAGAGGTCGTGTGGCGCTTTGCGGAGATTCAGGTTGCAGTTGCAGAGCCTGAGCGGAGTATTCGTTCGAGGCCGTTCCACTGGAAATCCGCCTACCGACTGGAAGCAGCATGAGAGACGGGGCTCAAGAGACGGATGCTGATCTGAAGAGGCTGAGGCGTCCGCATGTCTCCGGGATTTCGGAAAGCCCGCATAGGTAGCTGCGAGGCGAAGGCACAGCCACGAAAGCCTCTTAGATTCTGTTTTCAGTGCCTTCTCTCCCTCGCGGTAACAGCCGCCTGCACACTGCAAAGAGCTCCGACGCCACGGCAGCGCTGATGGCGATCGCTCCCAGATTCGAGCCCCGTCGCCCTGTAGCCACTGACTTCTGGCCACGCCGCCTGTGCCCTGCGCGCGTCGGGGCCCGTTTTCGATTGGCGCGCTCGGTGTGCTCTGCATGCTCTGCATCCGTGAGCGTGCAGCCGTGATGGGCTCTCTTCAAGCACGTGTCTGCAGCGGCTTTGGGTGGCTGCACTGAGCCCGCTCCCGCTTCTGCTGGGAGGCTATGGTAGCAGTCTCCCGCCCTGTTCTCGCAGCATGCAGCTTGCCGTCATGACAGAGAAACGACTCGAGACCAGACAGACCCGCGCAGCTTTCTTGGAAGGATCGCATGTTGAGAAGCCTTTTTCCACGAGCCTGTGCGCGCCTGCGTCGTTCTGTTAAGCTGTGATGCCGAAGCAGTTCGTTCTTTCGGCTTGCTGACAGGGACCACTGAGAGGCCAGCCCTGCGGCCCAAACCTTAAGCCGTCAGTCCTTTTCGAGACGGAGAGTTCCCCAAGCTGTGCTGAAAGCCAGGGCCCCGCACTTCGCAAGTCAGGAACCTCAGCCATAAGCCGTTATGCAGCAACGCCTGCGTCATGGACGCAGAGACTTTAAGAGGACATCCGATGACGAGATAATCCGATCGGACACAAGTGTGCAGGAGGCAGTGCCGGCACTGCCAATGTGGATAGGATAATCGCAGACGGTGCCTCAAAGATCATATGTTGCGAGGGCATTTCCGTGGCCACCCGACGCCATGTTCCTGACAGTGTGCACGGCAGCTCTGTTCAAGCAGCTCTGTTCACGTGCTTGTGAGTGTGCGGCAGGCTTCGGCTGTGAAGCGATGCCTTGCTTCACATGCTGAGCCCGGGGAATGCTGAACACCGCCGGGATTTCCCCACGCAGTGTCTGAAGTGACATGCACCTGGGGAGGCAGGCCCAGCTGTTGCCAGGTGCACGCGGTATCGAACGACACCCAGCTGGCCCATACAATGCCGTCCAACGCCGTACCAGTTACCCCGCACCGGCCGGTACCGCCCCTTGCCGGGACCCATCAGCACTGCTTAGGTCCTCACCGTAGAAGTCTCCGTAGCGTTGTCCCAACAACGAGACCCTTTAGAGATCTTTCGCGATTCCGTCGGCCGCCGGGACAGTCCTTTTCTGGGTGCACAAAGTCCGAGGAGTCCCGAAGAAGTGAGTTGTGTTTTGTGGTGTGTAACCTGAAGGCACAGTCACCATGGCCAGGGCCAGCGCGGCCAGCGCACCGGTCGGATTCACAGGGACACCAAACCGCTGCCTTCCCTGACCTTGTCTTGTCGCCCGAGCTTGTGAGATTGTAGCCATGGTTGCCATGGTTTCAAAGTTCTCACATGACCTTGGGCGCCACGGCCACGGGCCTCTGCGGCGCAGGCGTTGTGCCCAAAGCAGCATGCCATCGTTTCTAGACTGTGCACCATCGCCAAGGCAGCCCTTGTTGCTGAAATCGGCGGTATGATGAAACCGGAAGCACGTTGCACGCCGACCTCATCGTTGCAGCCTAATTGGGATGGGGCCGTGAGACTCGAAGGTGTCGCAGTGCAGGCAGTACTGCTGTTGCAAACCCCAGCAGCGCAAGGTGAGATCTTTCTTTCCGTCGCTGCCGTTGTGTCTGCGGCAAATATACATCATCATGCAACCTTGACCGGTCGGTCCTTTCCCCCAAGCTGTTTTGAGAACCGGGGCCATGCGCCTGGCAAGTCAGGACCCTAGGCCCTAAGCCTTTAAGCGGCAACGCTGCAAGGACAGGAAGAGGACATCCGATGACGAGGTAATCCGATCGCACACAAGTGCGCAGGAGGCATTGCAGGCACTGCTAAGCGCAATATTCGCGTGTGTTTGTTAATGACTGCATGTTGCAAGTGCCTCTCTGTCACCGGACCGCATGTTCATGAAACCACGTCGTGCTTGTGAGTTTCCAGCAGGCTTCCGTGTCGAAGAGTCTTTGCTTCACCTGCTGAGCCCAGAGCAAACCCGGTCTTTAGAATGCTGGTGAAGACCAGACCCCGGCCTGGCCACGGCATTGCCTGAAGCGAAGCTGACGAGGGGCAGGCCCAGCTGTTGCCAGGTGCATCCGATGTCGGACCTGAACGACACCCAGCTGGCTTTGCAGTCAGTCTGTGCAGCTCGCAAGGTGTTGGTTTTGAACGCAGAGCAAGGGTTGCTTTGCCGGCATGCAAGGAGCCTTAAGTGTAACCGCACGACAGACCATGCGTTTGGGATTCCTGCCACGCATGTTGCGAGACCCTGTGGACTTCTGTCTGCAAAGTGCCCGACAAATTGCGAGAAGCCGTCTCTACGGCCTGGCGGCAACCTAGCATTGCGTGCAGCGGGGACGTTGCAAAGCAGCTTCGTGTCTTGTGCTGGACGAGCCCCTCCGCAGCGCACATGTCGAAGCTGGCGAGCAGACGCTGGCTAGCTTCGGAGGCCTACAGTGGCTCTGTGTCCTGCCTACAGCCAGCGCCGCAAGCTCGTCTCGCTGGGTCGGTGGGTGCCTGGCAACTGCCGACATGGCTCGTCAGCAGGCTCGTGGACTCTGCGCATCCTGCCGGCATTGTAGTGGGCTCAGGGCGTCAATGCCCAGGCTATCCACCTGCAGCCGAGCCCGGTTTTCGGAATCCAGCCTTTGGTGCGTGTCGAGTCGAAGCGTGCAACTGCTGTTGTTTGAGAGCATCAGCGCGCTCTCAGCCTCTGCTTCAAAGTCCTTGAAAGGCGCCGTCCTGGATCTGCTTGCGTGTCGCAGGGACGGGGCGCGCCGTGATTCGACAAAGATGTCCCTCGGTGGTGCCCGCGACATGCCGGCCTTGATGGGGATTCCCTGCAGGTCCGCTGCTCATGCTGCTCCTGCTTCAATCAGGCAGGCCGTCAACTTGTGTCCCGAAAGGTTTTTGTCAGAGTCCGTTTGCTGGCGGCGCGAGCTGCTCCTGTGACGTGTTAGCTGCCTCTGTGCTCCGACGTGCAAGGCGGCTGCGATCCGCCCTTGCATGCACTGGCACCTCGCAGAATGACAGTCTGACAGTCTAGACGGTGCATTGCGGCCTTCTGCAGCTGGTGCGGGCCACGAAGCGAAGGTGAAGATCTGCATCCGCCCAATTGGCTGGAGGCTTGGCGAGATGCATCGACGGAGTTCAAGCTGCCTGGTGCGCCAGATCCTTCCAGATCACCTGGCCTTGTGTGGCCTCACCGTGCTGCTCTGGCGAGCCTGGCGCCTTCTGCTTCTTGATGGCTCATGTGACACCTTCATCACCAGGGTGACGGTTGCTTGCTCACCTGCCTCAGAAGCCGCTCTTGGGCTGCAACGTTGCAGCTGCAGAGTCAGTGCAGGTGGCACTCCGCCATCCTTGCAGTGCGATCGGGGCTTCCAGTTGGAGTCCTGTCATGTCGTGCCTCAAGGAAAGACGCGTGCAGAGAGCTCAGCACCCACATGGTGCTTTGCGGAGTTGCAGGTTGCATTTGCCGAACCTGTGCGGAGTATTCGTTCGAGGCAGTTCCGCTCAAAAACTTGCAGACTAAAAGCAGCATGAGAGGCGGGGCTCAAGAGACGGATGCTGATCTGAAGAGGCTGAGGCGTCCGCATGTCTCCGGGATTTCGGAAAGCCCGCATAGGTAGCTGTGAGGCGAAGCCGCAGCCACGAAAGCCTCTTAGATTCTGTTTTCAGTGCCTTCTCTCCCTCGCAGTAACAGCAGCCTGCACACTGCAAAGAGCTCCGACACCACGGCACCGCTGATGGCGATCGCTCCCAGCTTCGAGCCCCGTCGCCGTGTAGCCACTGACTTCTGGCCACGCCGCCTGTGCCCTGCGCGCGCCGGGGCCCGTTTTGGATTGGCGCGCTCGGTGTGCTCTGCATGCTCTGCATCCGTGAGCGTGCATCCGTGATGGGCTCTCTTCAGGCACGTGTCTGTGACGCCGGGTGGCTGCAGGGAGCCCACTCCCGCTTCTGCTGGGAGGCCATGGTAGCAGAGCATCACCGGCCTAATGCCCTGGTGCCGGAGCATGCAGCTTACAGGCATGTTAGAGAAAAGACTCGAGAGACTGATCAGAGCATCTTGCTGGACAGGAGCGTGTACTGACGAGCCCTGGTGCACAGGCATGACCGTGCCCGCATTGGTCCCTTCGAAGAGGCTGTTATGCTGAAGAACTTCGTTCTTTCTGGAGACGGAGAGTTCCCCAAGCTGTGCTGAAAGCCAGCCCCGCACTTCGCAAGTCAGGAACCTCAGCCATAAGCCGTTGTGCAGCAACGCCTGCGTCATGGACGCAGAGACTTTAAGAGGACATCCGATGACGAGATAATCCGATCGGACACAAGTGTGCAGGAGGCAGTGCCGGCACTGCCAATGTGGATAGGATAATCGCAGACGGTGCCTCAAAGATCATATGTTGCGAGGGCATTTCCGTGGCCACCCGACGCCATGTTCCTGACAGTGTGCACGGCAGCTCTGTTCAAGCAGCTCTGTTCACGTGCTTGTGAGTGTGCGGCAGGCTTCGGCTGTGAAGCGATGCCTGCTTCACATGAGCCGAATAGGGCCCACCTATTCTTTGGAACGCTTGTGAGAACACCGCCGGGATGTCCCACAGCATCGTCTGAAGCGATGCCCAAGGCGCCCAGCCGTTGCGAGGCGCACCCGATATCGAACGACACCCAGCTGGCCGTACCGTCATCCTGTGCAGCTCGCAATGCATTGAAGCTGAAGGCAGCGCAGAAGTTGCTGGCCTGTCGCAGTGCAGGACCTTGGCTGTGACTGCCCGGCAGATCACGTGTGTGGGAAGCCTGGCACGCATGTCTGCCACGGGGAGCAGGCAAACCTTCATTAGCCAGCAGAGAGGTGCTTTGATAAGCACCGGGGCTTCCGTGTGCAAAGTGGCCGAGTTCTTGCGAGTAGCCTAGAGCCTACTCTCTCCAGGCTGGCGGCAACCTAACATTAGCATTCTGTGCAGGGGAAGTCGATATGGAAGCTCGGCAGGAGTGGACTTTGCAAAGTTGCAAAGGCGTCTCGTCAGAAGCACTGGGCCAGCCCGCTCGCTGCACAGATGTAGGAGCCGGCAAGTGAAAGTTTCCAACCTTCTGAGGCCTGCAGTGGCTGCGTGTCTTGCCTGCAACCAGCGCCGCAAGCTCGTCTCGCTGGGTCGGTGGGTGCCTGCTGTCAGCCGAGATGGCACGCCATCAAGCCCCTGGACGCTGGGCATCTTGCTTCTGCTTCAGGCCCTCCAACCTGGATCAAAGGCATGCTGCCTCCTGCCAGAGCTGTGGTGCAGAAGCAGCCAGCTTCTGCCGGGCGCTTGTCAGGGCGTCGCCGTCACTCCCCAGACTGTCCGCCTGCACACTGGCGCTCGCCCTCTGCAGCCTACACACGCGAGTCAGCCGAGCAGAGTCAATGGACGTCTCCTCCAGGCTTCATCGAGTGTCGAGTCTAAGCGTGCAGCTGCATGACCGGGGCGCTTCTGTGGAATGGTGTGGTGCCAGCGCTGTTGTTTGAGAGCATCAGCGCGCTCTCAGCCTCTGCTTCAAAGTCCTTGAAAGGCGCCGTCCTGGATCTGCTTGCGTGTCGCAGGGACGGGGCGCGCCGTGATTCGACAAAGATGTCCCTCGGTGGTGCCCGCGACATGCCGGCCTTGATGGGGATTCCCTGCAGGTCCGCTGCTCATGCTGCTCCTGCTTCAATCAGGCAGGCCGTCAACTTGTGTCCCGAAAGGTTTTTGTCAGAGTCCGTTTGCTGGCGGCGCGAGCTGCTCCTGTGACGTGTTAGCTGCCTCTGCGCTCCTACGTGCAAGGCGGCTGCGATCCGCCCTTGCATGCACTGGCACCTCGCAGAATGACAGTCTGACAGTCTAGACGGTGCATTGCGGCCTTCTGCAGCTGGTGCGGGCCACGAAGCGAAGGTGAAGATCTGCATCTGCCGAACTGACTGGAGGCTTGGCGAGATGCATAGACGGAGTTCAAGCTGCCTGGTGCGCCAGATCCTTCCAGATCACCTGGCCTTGTGTGGCCTCACCGTGCTGCTCTGGCGAGCATGGCGACTTCTGCTTCCTGATGGCTCATGTGACACCTTCATCACCAGGGTGACGGTTGCTCTTCCTCTGCCGTCATTCCAGTGCGCTGATCTCGTTTTCCGCGGGCGAAAGCATGCAGACGGCTCAGAGCCCGTGCGGTGCTCTGCGGAGGTGCTGGTTGCAGCTGCCAAGCTTGCATTCAGTGGAGGCAGTTCCAATCGACACTTAGAGACTACAAGCAGCATCGTGTGTTGAGCGCTGAACCACAGGGCTGACAGCTGCAATGTTGCCTTGTAGATGATGCTGAAGCAGTCCGTTCTTTCGTGTTGACAGGGGCCACGGGGAGACAAGCCCTGCGCGGCCTAGGCTTTGAGCCATCAAGCCTTTTCGAGACGGAGTCTTCCCCAAGCTGTTCTGAAATCTGAGGCCATGCACCTGGCAAGTAAGAAATCCAAGCCCTAAGCCTTTACGCAAAAACTCCTGCATGGCCGCAAGGAGGATATCCGACGACGAGATAATCCGATCGCGCGCAAGTGCGCAGGAGGCATTGCTGGCACCCCCCATGTCGATAATTGCGTGTGTCTGTTAATTGCTGTATGCTGCCAGTGCTTTTCCGTCACTGTCACTTGGCCGCATGTTCATGACGTGAAGTGCCGTAGCTCTGCAGAAGCCTGTTCGTGCTGGTGAGTTTCCCGCAAGCTTCCGCGTCGAAGCGTCTTTGCTGTACTTGCTGAGCCGAGGGCCCAGCCAGTCTTCAGGATGGTGAGAACACCGGCCGGGATGTCCCACAGCATCGTCTGAAGGGATGCCCAAGGCGCCCAGCCGTTGCGAGGCGCACCCGATATCGAACGACACCCAGCTGGCCGTACCGTCATCCTGTGCAGCTCGCAATGCATTGAAGCTGAAGGCAGCACAGAAGTTGCTGGCCTGTCGCAGTGCGGGACCTTGGCTGTGACTGCCCGGCAGATCACGTGTGTGGGAAGCCTGGCACGCATGTCTGCCACGGGGAGCAGGCAAACCTTCATTAGCCAGCAGAGAGGTGCTTTGATAAGCACCGGGGCTTCCGTGTGCAAAGTGGCCGAGTTCTTGCGAGTAGCCTAGAGCCTACTCTCTCCAGGCTGGCGGCAACTTAACATTAGCATTCTGTGCAGGGGAAGTCGATATGGAAGCTCGGCAGGAGTGGACTTTGCAAAGTTGCAAAGGCGTCTCGTCAGAAGCACTGGGCCAGCCCGCTCGCTGCACAGATGTAGGAGCCGGCAAGTGAAAGTTTCCAACCTTCTGAGGCCTGCAGTGGCTGCGTGTCTTGCCTGCAACCAGCGCCGCAAGCTCGTCTCGCTGGGTCGGTGGGTGCCTGCTGTCAGCCGAGATGGCACGCCATCAAGCCCCTGGACGCTGGGCATCTTGCTTCTGCTTCAGGCCCTCCAACCTGGATCAAAGGCATGCTGCCTCCTGCCAGAGCTGTGGTGCAGAAGCAGCCAGCTTCTGCCGGGCGCTTGTTAGGGCGTCGCCGTCACTCCCCAGACTGTCCGCCTGCACACTGGCGCTCGCCCTCTGCAGCCTACACACGCGAGTCAGCCGAGCAGAGTCAATGGACGTCTCCTCCAGGCTTCATCGAGTGTCGAGTCTAAGCGTGCAGCTGCATGACCGGGGCGCTTCTGTGGAATGGTGTGGTGCCAGCGCTGTTGTTTGAGAGCATCAGCGCGCTCTCAGCCTCTGCTTCAAAGTCCTTGAAAGGCGCCGTCCTGGATCTGCTTGCGTGTCGCAGGGACGGGGCGCGCCGTGATTCGACAAAGATGTCCCTCGGTGGTGCCCGCGACATGCCGGCCTTGATGGGGATTCCCTGCAGGTCCGCTGCTCATGCTGCTCCTGCTTCAATCAGGCAGGCCGTCAACTTGTGTCCCGAAAGGTTTTTGTCAGAGTCCGTTTGCTGGCGGCGCGAGCTGCTCCTGTGACGTGTTAGCTGCCTCTGCGCTCCTACGTGCAAGGCGGCTGCGATCCGCCCTTGCATGCACTGGCACCTCGCAGAATGACAGTCTAGACAGTGCATTGCGGCCTTCTGCAGCTGGTGCGGGCCACGAAGCGAAGGTGAAGATCTGCATCTGCCGAACTGACTGGAGGCTTGGCGAGATGCATAGACGGAGTTCAAGCTGCCTGGTGCGCCAGATCCTTCCAGATCACCTGGCCTTGTGTGGCCTCACCGTGCTGCTCTGGCGAGCATGGCGACTTCTGCTTCCTGATGGCTCATGTGACACCTTCATCACCAGGGTGACGGTTGCTTGCTCACCTGCCTCAGAAGCCGCTTTTGGGTTGCAACGTTGCAGCTGCAGAGTCAGTGCAGCGGGTCACGCCCTACCATCCTTGCAGCTCGATGGCGGCTTTCAGTTGGAGTCCTGTCATGTCTTGCCTCGACGAAAGACGCGTGCAGAGAGCCCAGCGCCCACATGGTGCTTTGCGGAGGTGCAGGCTGCAATTGCCGAACCTGAGCGGAGTATTCGTTCGAGGCCGTTCCACTCAAAAACTTGCCTACCGCCTCGAAACAGCGTGAGAGGCGGGGCTCAAGAGACGGATGCTGATCTGAAGAGGCTGAGGCGTCCGCATGTCTCCGGGATTTCGGAAAGCCCGCATAGGTAGCTGTGAGGCGAAGCCGCAGCCACGAAAGCCTCTTAGATTCTGTTTTCAGTGCCTTCTCTCCCTCGCAGTAACAGCAGCCTGCACACTGCAAAGAGCTCCGACGCCACGGCAGCGCTGATGGCGATCGCTCCCAGATTCGAGCCCCGTCGCCCTGTAGCCACTGACTTCTGGCCACGCCGCCCGTGCCCTGCGCGCGCCGGGGCCCGTTTTCGATTGGCGCGCTCGGTGTGCTCTGCATGCTCTGGATCCGTGAGCGTGCATCCGTGATGGGCTCTCTTCAGGCACGTGTCTGTGACGCCGGGTGGCTGCAGGGAGCCCACTCCCGCTTCTGCTGGGAGGCCATGGTAGCAGAGCATCACCGGCCTAATGCCCTGGTGCCGGAGCATGCAGCTTACAGGCATGTTAGAGAAAAGACTCGAGAGACTGATCAGAGCATCTTGCTGGACAGGAGCGTGTACTGACGAGCCCTGGTGCACAGGCATGACCGTGCCCGCATTGGTCCCTTCGAAGAGGCTGTTATGCTGAAGAACTTCGTTCTTTCTGGAGACGGAGAGTTCCCCAAGCTGTGCTGAAAGCCAGCCCCGCACTTCGCAAGTCAGGAACCTCAGCCATAAGCCGTTGTGCAGCAACGCCTGCGTCATGGACGCAGAGACTTTAAGAGGACATCCGATGACGAGATAATCCGATCGGACACAAGTGTGCAGGAGGCAGTGCCGGCACTGCCAATGTGGATAGGATAATCGCAGACGGTGCCTCAAAGATCATATGTTGCGAGGGCATTTCCGTGGCCACCCGACGCCATGTTCCTGACAGTGTGCACGGCAGCTCTGTTCAAGCAGCTCTGTTCACGTGCTTGTGAGTGTGCGGCAGGCTTCGGCTGTGAAGCGATGCCTGCTTCACATGAGCCGAATAGGGCCCACCTATTCTTTGGAACGCTTGTGAGAACACCGCCGGGATGTCCCACAGCATCGTCTGAAGCGATGCCCAAGGCGCCCAGCCGTTGCGAGGCGCACCCGATATCGAACGACACCCAGCTGGCCGTACCGTCATCCTGTGCAGCTCGCAATGCATTGAAGCTGAAGGCAGCGCAGAAGTTGCTGGCCTGTCGCAGTGCAGGACCTTGGCTGTGACTGCCCGGCAGATCACGTGTGTGGGAAGCCTGGCACGCATGTCTGCCACGGGGAGCAGGCAAACCTTCATTAGCCAGCAGAGAGGTGCTTTGATAAGCACCGGGGCTTCCGTGTGCAAAGTGGCCGAGTTCTTGCGAGTAGCCTAGAGCCTACTCTCTCCAGGCTGGCGGCAACCTAACATTAGCATTCTGTGCAGGGGAAGTCGATATGGGAGCTCGGCAGGAGTGGACTTTGCAAAGTTGCAAAGGCGTCTCGTCAGAAGCACTGGGCCAGCCGTTTCCAACCTTCTGAGGCCTGCAGTGGCTGCGTGTCTTGCCTGCAACCAGCGCCGCAAGCTCGTCTCGCTGGGTCGGTGGGTGCCTGCTGTCAGCCGAGATGGCACGCCATCAAGCCCCTGGACGCTGGGCATCTTGCTTCTGCTTCAGGCCCTCCAACCTGGATCAAAGGCATGCTGCCTCCTGCCAGAGCTGTGGTGCAGAAGCAGCCAGCTTCTGCCGGGCGCTTGTCAGGGCGTCGCCGTCACTCCCCAGACTGTCCGCCTGCACACTGGCGCTCGCCCTCTGCAGCCTACACACGCGAGTCAGCCGAGCAGAGTCAATGGACGTCTCCTCCAGGCTTCATCGAGTGTCGAGTCTAAGCGTGCAGCTGCATGACCGGGGCGCTTCTGCGGAATGGTGTGGTGCCAGCGCTGTTGTTTGAGAGCATCAGCGCGCTCTCAGCCTCTGCTTCAAAGTCCTTGAAAGGCGCCGTCCTGGATCTGCTTGCGTGTCGCAGGGACGGGGCGCGCCGTGATTCGACAAAGATGTCCCTCGGTGGTGCCCGCGACATGCCGGCCTTGATGGGGATTCCCTGCAGGTCCGCTGCTCATGCTGCTCCTGCTTCAATCAGGCAGGCCGTCAACTTGTGTCCCGAAAGGTTTTTGTCAGAGTCCGTTTGCTGGCGGCGCGAGCTGCTCCTGTGACGTGTTAGCTGCCTCTGCGCTCCTACGTGCAAGGCGGCTGCGATCCGCCCTTGCATGCACTGGCACCTCGCAGAATGACAGTCTAGACGGTGCATTGCGGCCTTCTGCAGCTGGTGCGGGCCACGAAGCGAAGGTGAAGATCTGCATCTGCCGAACTGACTGGAAGCTTGGCGAGATGCATCGACGGAGTTCAAGCTGCCTGGTGCGCCAGATCCTTCCAGATCACCTGGCCTTGTGTGGCCTCACCGTGCTGCTCTGGCGAGCATGGCGACTTCTGCTTCCTGATGGCTCATGTGACACCTTCATCACCAGGGTGACGGTTGCTTGCTCACCTGCCTCAGAAGCCGCTTTTGGGTTGCAACGTTGCAGCTGCAGAGTCAGTGCAGCGGGTCACGCCCTACCATCCTTGCAGCTCGATGGCGGCTTTCAGTTGGAGTCCTGTCATGTCTTGCCTCGACGAAAGACGCGTGCAGAGAGCCCAGCGCCCACATGGTGCTTTGCGGAGGTGCAGGCTGCAATTGCCGAACCTGTGCGGAGTATTCGTTCGAGGCCATTCCACTCAAAAACTTGCCTACCGCCTCGAAACAGCGTGAGAGGCGGGGCTCAAGAGACGGATGCTGATCTGAAGAGGCTGAGGCGTCCGCATGTCTCCGGGATTTCGGAAAGCCCGCATAGGTAGCTGTGAGGCGAAGCCGCAGCCACGAAAGCCTCTTAGATTCTGTTTTCAGTGCCTTCTCTCCCTCGCAGTAACAGCAGCCTGCACACTGCAAAGAGCTCCGACGCCACGGCAGCGCTGATGGCGATCGCTCCCAGATTCGAGCCCCGTCGCCCTGTAGCCACTGACTTCTGGCCACGCCGCCCGTGCCCTGCGCGCGCCGGGGCCCGTTTTCGATTGGCGCGCTCGGTGTGCTCTGCATGCTCTGCATCCGTGAGCGTGCAGCCGTGATGGGCTCTCTTCAGGCACGTGTCTGCAGCGGCTTTGGGTGGCTGCACTGAGCCCACTCCCGCTTCTGCTGGGAGGCCATGGTAGCGGTCTCCTGCCCTGTTCTCGCGGCTTGCAGCTTGCAGGCATGACAGAGAAAAGACTCGAGACCAGACAGACTAGAGCAGCTTTCTTGGACAGGTCGTGTGTTGAGAAGTCCTTTTCCACGAGCCTGTGTGCATCTGCGTCGTTCCATTAAGCTGTGATGCCGAAGCAGTGCATTCTTTCGGCTTGTTGCTGGACAAGGATCACGGAGAGCCCGGTTCGTTGGCTTTAACCTTGAGCCATCAGCCCTTCCGGAGACGGAGAGTTCCCCAAGCTGTGCTGAAGGCCAGGTCCCCGCACTTCGCAAGTCAAGAACCTCAGCCAAAAGCCGTTGTGCAGCAACGCCTGCCTCATGGACGCAGAGACTTTAAGAGGACATCCGATCACGAGATAATCCGATTGCACACAAGTGTGCAGGGGGCAGTGCCACTGCCAATGTGGATAGGATAATCGCAGACGGTGCTTCAAAGATCATATGTTGCGAGGGCATTTCCGTGGCCACCCGACGCCATGTTCCTGACAGCCGGGCATGACGTCGACGTCGCTGCTCCGCGGTCACAGCGCATGGCCGCTCCGGTTCAGCGGCCCGGGAGCCGCTGCGTGAGTGCCCGCAGCTCCGTGGCATCCCCGTCTCGCAGTCGCATCGATGCATGGCGAGCCATGTAGCTGCCAAGAGCCCTTTCCGGCGCTGCACCTCTGTCTTCACTCTACAGCTTCCAGTCGAGTAATCCCCCTGCTCCACTCGCGGTTAGCTTTGCCACTTTGCTCCTGCATTTCTTATCTTTCTCGTCTGGCCTCCTGCTGTCAAGTTGAGTCGAGACGTGCAGCTCGTCCAGCATGCGGGTGCGCCTGCATCCGAGCTCCGCCAGCTTTCACATGGACACCCCTGTTTTGTGGAGTCTCTTAGACCTCCCAAAGCATAAGATACAAACCCCACTGCGGACTCCAGGCTTCAGGAGACCGCCTCTGAAGAGGCTTCGGATGGTCCCGGATACTGTAGGCCGCCTCTGAAGTTTAGGCCGCCTCTGAAGTTTTCTCAGCGCTCGAAGCTGCCTCGACCCTTTCCCGAGTCGAAGCCGCTTCTCTGGCACCGCTTCCCGCCGAGCCTAGGCTTAGGCTAAGTGCAGCCTCTGCGAGATCAGTGAGGGGCGGGGCTGGGAAGCTGTCACGCCCCTCGCGAGCATGCCCTGCAAAGTTTTCCGGCGGTATTAGAAAAGGTGGGATGTAGAGCTCTGAGTTGGATAGTTTAGGCAGCCGTTTTCAAGATTCTGGCTCTCGGAATCAAAGGCTGTTAATTCATCAGCAACCCATATCACAAGCTTCCGCGATAGCGCTGCCGTAAACGGGAGAAAAAGAAGCCCAAGAGGCCCAGTGCAGGGGAGCCTTTTTCGGTGGGGTCGGCTGAGCACTGCGCCGGCCGCGGCTCTGGACCAGGACTCTGGACTCGATTTCTCCGGAAGCAAAGGCGTTCTCCGACGCGGTTCTGGGTTTCTGGGAGCTCCCAACAAAAGCTTGCAGTGATGTGGACGGGAATGGGAAGAACGGTGAGAAAAGGAGGGGGCTGCATCAGAGCTAGGCTTCGCGTAGCTCTTCGAGCTCCCAAAAATTCTGAGGAATTAGGACCCGAAAGTTCGGACGACACCTGCACCCGGGCCCTGGGGGCTCGGGCTCCGCTGCTGCGGCGTCTCCGTTGCTGGGAGCCGCCCGGGACGGACATGGAGCTGCGGAGCCTCTGCGGAGCGGAGCCTGCGGAGCGGCGAAGTCTCAGAGGTTCTTCTTGGCCCATCACCACCTCCTTCAGCCTCCCAGAAATGGCCCTCGTCGAGCTTTGATAAATAGACATAATTACCTTAAGCTTACAAAAGCCTTGAAGATTTCCAAAATTTTGACACGGACAGCAGCACCCGGCAGCTTGTGGCCAGAAGTTTTCATCTCACTGTCACCTCTTGCCTGGCCCTGTCTTCTCTGCTCCAGGACCCCCTAAACCTCCTTAGCCCCGTAAGTAGGCTGGGATGGAAGATGAGGGCTCTCTTGGCAAGAAAAGCGCGGCCAGGAACGAGGACCTCGACGTCCGGCAGTGTCTTGTCCTTGCGGAGCTCTGCAGTGAGGGAAAGGGGAAAGCCCCAAAATCCGATGGTTCAGAACCGCGGGGAGCCGCGGAACTCATGGGACGATGCTGGGTAGTGGCAGAACTCTGGGTCCTCGGCTCCTCCGCGGCGCGGAAAAGCCTTCGGTCTGTTTTCCTGCCAAAGACAGGGCCCTTTTCAGGAGCCACCGTTCGACGAATCTGCCCCTGTTGAGGGCGAGCCTCTGCAGGATGCGAGGCTCCTCGGCCTCAGCCTCCTCGGCTTCGGCCGCCTCTGCCGCCTCCGCCTCAGTGAGGAACTCAGCGGCACGCTGTGCGTCTGCGTCTTCTGGAAGGTTGCAGCACAGCATGCCCGAAGCCGCATGGAACATCCGACCTGCTCTTGGCAACGCAGAGATGCGCAAGAAAGGACTTCTGCATCCAGGGTTTGCAGCTCAAACTGTTGTTTGGGCAGGTATCCAGCCCCAAGCCCCCAAAAGCGTTGAACCTGTGAACCTTGTCTTGCAGACTGCCGTGAAGGCCCCCCTTTCGATACTGTCCTGCGGACTTGTTACGGGTCACTTCTCCTTCTCCTCTCCCGGCTTTCTGTCAACAGGTTCGTGCACATCCCAGCATTTCGGAGTCTATGTTAAAGGTCACTTGTTTTCTGACTTGTTGCTAAGTCCATTCGAATATCAGGCCGCTGTGCACATGCGAGGAAGTTGCGAAATTGTGAGGGCTCCTTGTTGATGCTTCTGCTCAGTGCCTTACTGCTCAGTGCCTATATGAAGGGTCCGTGGTTTTGTGACGCTCCCATGCTGATTGACAGAATCGTGACAGAGTAGCAGCAATGTAGGGGCCTGAATAAGTACCAGTCGTATTCCTTGAGGTTTCTTATTGTATTTATGCTACAAAAGACCACCCCAAAAGACTCTATTCAAATTACTACGGCCCCTTTTCATATTACTCGTATCATGGGCAAAGAAATAGCGGGCGTAGGCATGAAACAAATAAAAGCTGCGTCTCAGGTGTATGTTGTGGCCCGAGCACATGGCAGCATGGCACATGGCAAGTTGTCTAGCAGTTCCAAGCACATGCACCTGTACAAGTGCGGCACGCCTGTGAAGCATCTACTCCTAGCGTTGGAAACTGCGAGGGGTTGCCTTTCGGATCGTCGACGTCTCTGGGACAAGGCCTCAATGGTCCGGCTCAGACACTCCTTCAAGTTGGAGGGGCGTGAAAATGCGTGAGATCCGGAAGGAGAGCGGAGCTGTGATGTTCTTTGGTGGCGCGGGTGACTCGCAGCAGACTGCAGGTAGGCTTTGGGGCTTCGAGTCTTGGGAATTGGAAGTCGAACTTCGGAAGTCTCGTCCTGGGGGAGGTAACGTCTGCGCACTGAGACCTATGTGCATGGACGGAAAGCCGGTTGGGGACTTTCTGCACACTGCTTTCGGGGACTGCTGAGCGGTTGGGTTACGGGTTGCTAGTGCAGTACTACTTATGTCATGTGAGAGTTTCCGAAAATAGGGGACCCTAATATAGTACCCTCAATATAGGATCCTTATTGTAAGGACCCCAAAATAAGGTACCCCTAATTTTCGGAAACCCTCATGTGTGTGTCGTGGCAGGGGTGTGTACTTCGACTCCGTCGGGCTTTCATGAGCCAAAAGGGGTCAGAGTCGGGGGCCCCCGGAAGACCCTTGGAAGAGTGAATCCTGAATCCTAAGCCCTAAGCCGACCCGTCACTGAGGGATGGGCCCCGTACATCTGCTGCAGCTGCTCTTGACGCGGACCTGAAGTTGCAGGTCGCAAAGGGGTTCAGGGAAAAAATCTCGAAACCACCAAGCTCAGTTCTGCTGTGCAGAAGCCCCCCATCTTCCTACACGTGACTATGGACTATACATCCAGACTTCTGTAGTATGATTATGAGGAGCATTACTGTACTTCTTATTACTCTTGCTCTCATGAATTGGTTTTGGCTCTGCTTTCTGCTTGGATTGCGTGTAAAGTCCGGGACTTGCCTGGAAGCCCTTCGAGCCTGATGTGGCAGCCAGCCGTACAAATACTTATACGAAGTACTCCTGTTTAGCACGTCAAAAAAGTGGTACTCGTGCCAGTACCGTAGTGCTAGTACTACTATGTACTACTACTACTACTACTACTACTACTACTACTACTACGACTATTCAATTGGACGCCGTGCGAGCGGGCTCAGCACGTTGCGGGCGATTGCCGCATGTGCACTCACTTGAATGTGAAACTGACCCGATGACCCTGTATGGTCCAAGAAGTGGTTAGTAACTGGAGCTGCGGCTTACGAAGTATGTACGCAGCATCAGTAAAGGGTTTTGATGTGTGCAGGACAGCTTGCCTCCACGGTGCAGGAGCACATGTTGGTACCTGAAGCAGTCATTGTACTCATGCTTGATGGCGGCATAGCTGGTGCGACGCCGAGGCTGAATGTCTGCAGGCAGTCTTTTTTTCCAAGCATGATGGCGACGGCTCGTGTGCAAGCGGGCCATCAGTCTGCTGTTGCAGGAAGAAACGATGTGAAGAGGTTGTGGCAGCTAGGCATTGCCTCCGCTCC